GCCCACTATCACCACTGCTATTCAAAATAGTATGGGAGGTCCCAGCCAGAACTGTTAGACAGGAGAAAGAAATAAAAGGCATCCAAATTGGAAAGGGAGAAATTAAATTGTTCCTGTTTGCAGAAGACATGATCTTACATATATAAAATCCTAAAGACACCACAAAAAACTGTTAGAATGAATAAATAAACTTAATAAAGTTGTAGGATACAAAATCAACATACAAAAGTCACTAGTGTTTGTATATATTTACAATAAACTATTTGAAGAAGGGATCGAGAAAACAATTCCATTTACAATAGCTACCAAAAAAATTTTTTAGGAATAAATTTAACTAAGGAGGTGAAAGACTTCTACACTGAAAACAATAAAACATTGGTGAAATAAATTGAGGACACAAACAAATAGAAAGATAGATTCCCATGTACATGAATTGGAAGAATTATTATGATTAAAATGTCCATACTGCCCAAAGCAGTCTACAGATTCAGTGCAATTCCTCTCAAAATACCAATGACTTTTTTCACAGAAATACAAGAAACAATTCTAAAATTTGTATGGAACTACAAAAGACTTTAAGTATATAAAGCTATCTTGAGCAGAAAGAAAAAAACTGAAGGCATCACACTACCTAACTTCAAAAAATACTACAAAGCTATAGAAATCAAAACAGCATGGAACTAGCAAAGAACAAAGAAGAAAGAAAGAAAGAAAGAAAACAGACATATTGACCAATAAAACAGAATACAGAATCTAGAAATAAACCCAAGTATTTTTAGTCAACTGATTTTCAACAAAATTGTCAAGTAAATGCAATGGAGGAAAAAAAAACAGTCTCTTCAATAAATGGTGTTTGGAGAACTGAATATCCACATGCAGAAGAATGAAAATAGACTCTCATTTCACACCATATACAAAAATCAAGTCAAAATAGATTAAAGATGTAAACATAAGACCTGAAACTATGAACCTACTAGAAGAAAACAGAGGGAAAAAGCTCCATGCCATTGGTCTGGGCAATGACTTTCTGGATATGAACTCCAATGCACAGGCAACAAAAGCAAAAATATGCACATGGTATTACATCAAAATAGAAAGCTTCTATACAGAAAAGGAAGCCAACAGAGGAAAGAGACAACATGCAGAATGGGAGAAAATATTTGCAAGTTACACAGCTGATGAGGAGTTAATATACAAAATATACAAGGAACTGAACTCAATAGCAAGAAAACAAAAATAACTGATTAAAAAATGGGCAAAGGACTTTGCTATAGGTTACATGTGTCCCCCATATGTTCACGTGTTAGAAACTTGATCCCCATTGCAACAGTGTTAAGGTGAGAAATTTGATAATAGTATTTGAAAGGTGGGGTCTTGAGAGGTGATTGGACTANTCTAAAGGTAATGGAAATGATTGGTCACTTTCCTTCACCACAGCAAAATGTCAATAGAGCATGGCTTAGTTCTCAAGGAGATATTTTTAGACTTACCAGATCTGAGAGATCCCTGTGCCCTCCTAAAAATAAGAAAACAAAACAAAGAAACACAAACATGTAACAAAAAATAATGTCTATTAAATATGAGAAAAACAAAGAACCTATTATTAACATACATTATTTTCTGAGATTAATTAGAAAGTAACAATATGTGAACAATTTTGTTACTGCCAACATTTTAGTGTGTTGATTCACTTAAAAGTAAAACAGTATGATAAGAAACAATAATTTTCAGTTTTTTTAAAGACTAGAGCCCTTCCTTAGTGTGGTTTTGATTAATATTGTATTCCACACCAGACTAAAATACTCAAGAGGGCCCAAACTGTGGGGTTTTTGTTTGCTTGATTTTTGGCTCATGGTTGTATCTAAAGTGTGTGTCATATAGTAGCAAACAGCTGTTGAATGAATGAATGAATGAATGAATGAATGGATGGATGGATGGATGGATGGATGGATGGATGGGATGGATGGATGGATGGATGGATGGATGGATGGATGAGTCAATGGCTGTTTCTGAAGACAGAAGCCTAACTGCGTTCTTACTGGAAACTGTCAGAGGCCACAATTCCATATTCTTCACTAGTATGTTAGAAAAATAACCAAAGATTGCAAGCCTGATAAATTTTTTATGTCAAAATGTTTTATGCTTTAAAGAAAGATACGGATATCTATATTACATAGAGCTTTTACCTACCCTTCTTGTACATTCTGAGAGCTGTTAAGTGGTAAAAAAGATATTTCACAGTCCTCTGTCCTAAAATATAATAAAATTCATTATTAGCAGTCATTGACCCTGTGATATAAAATTTTTGGTTTAAGAAAAAGACTTACTTAAGTTTTGCCAGTGTTTTAATTACAGCATAATCTCTGCGTTGGTTAGGAGACATCCAGCGATTTTTTTCCGCCAGAGCCAAAGTTCTTCCACCAAAGCCAAACATGGCTGAAAACCCAAAGCGAAGAAGCTTGCCAGGGGTGCTGAAGGAGCAGACATCAACTGGTTGTACATGCCCTTGAACATTACATTGAATATCAATCAGTGAATGCAGTGGGTCTAGCTGTCGAAACAGCAAACACAGAACAGCATGTTTACTTATAGGAGACTATCTCAAGGTACTGTATTCTGTAATGAATATCTTTGCTTTTTCTTCATCTTTCTTTGCCTAAAACTACTGTAATTGCCTTTTGTAACTTTTTCAGGAGCTAAGTGAAGAAACACAAAGCAGTGAATTTTGCAGTTTATTGCTGTTTCATATAAAACATGGTTAGGCAAGTGAGTTGAAGTAGATGTGCAAAGTAAACAGATTTAACAGTTCTGCATTGCATTTATTTAAGTTTACTTGCTTTCTATAAACTGAGATAATAAAAGGTCTGTGGACGTGTATTGGCCGACATTTTTTTTTCTTGTACTTTCTTTTCTTTTAGTAACATAATCCTAGTCCTAGATAGTCTTGGCACAATCAAACAACAGTATCAGGTATACTTAAGTAGTATGCATGAATTTTCTTGATCTGGTTATAAAATTCTGATTTTGAGCTTCATTACAATATCTTTTTCTATCGACATTATGGTAAAACTTAATTTACTGCTCTTTACAAAATACATATTTTGAAAAGTTAGGCAGTCCAAACAGTAAAGTTCTGCAAATTGACTTTTTTTT